AAACCTATGTGCAAATTTTAACTTAAACCGCTTTTCTTTATTTAATTTTTTAAGAAAAATTCAGCGTCATCTAAAACACGTCTTGAACCCCATCACATAAATGCACCCGCGGTCCGTGACGTATTTTATCCAACATTGTTGAGATTTAGATTTGGGTCACATAAATGCGCACCCGAGTTTAGGAAGATAAATTATTAAAATAACGCGCCTAAAACAACTACGCACTTTCAAATTTGCAAGGGCCATGGAAAATTCAACTAATGGCACGCCTCGATTTCTAAAGGATTAAAATTAGTTATATGCGGCCTATGGATTATGAACAAAATATATTGTGGAAAACCATCTTCAATAGGAGAACTATTGTGGATACATCTGCGGTACATTACTGCTAAAGTAAACATTTGCTCCAATATGTGCAGAAAACAAGCATATCAAAATTGTTTGACATAGGTTCAGGTGAAATCAAAATAGAAGAGATCAAAAGATATTAAATTCTTTATTGACAAAATATCGTGAGAATATTCATAGGATTTAATAATATGAAACATGGCCATTTCACAAGTAGATATACGATACAGCACATCATTCAGGCATCTTTAAAGTTAACCGCTAATATAATAAATAAAGGCACTAATTTGACAACTACATACAACACATCGTTAAAACACATCTAAAGGACACAATGATATAAATAGCAATACTTTTCAACTTTAGCTAACAATTTCCATAGCTTTTGTTGTTTACTTTCTAAATAATGAGTTTTAAATTCAAAGGGAAATCATGTACTTCTTCAGCAACCTTCAAATAAATCAAAAGGCCTTCAACTTAAACTCACGTTTTCAACTAACCAAAGATAATAAAATATTTTACGTCAAACAAATACAGGGATGCAAAATCGACAATAACCAAACTAGCTGAGAAAATCAACACTGATACAGTAGTATTATCAAAGTGCTAGAAAATAGGAGCTAACCTTATCTTCCAAATTCAAACAAAACAACAACGGCAAAGTCAAACAGAAACCGCAAGCAAAATCGAGACCTCGAACCGGAAACCTCAGAACTACGTTCTTCGACGACCTCGAAACTCGCCGGAACAGTTTTGGAAGTGGACTATTTGGGGCGTTTTAGGGGGTGTTTTTCAGGTGGAGAAGATGATCTCTCATGGCTCTTTCATGGTGTATGTTAAGCTCTAGATGTAGAATTTTTAGGAAGAAGAAGACCCTTTTTTCGTTGGTTGTCCGTGTATATCCAGTGCATATCGAGAGGATCTCTAGTGTATATAGAATGTATACTGACTGTATATCGAGTGTATACCCCCTGTCTCCGTTAAGAAGAAGCCATCTTTTTTTCCTCTCTATCTTTTTAACTTCCCCCCTCCTCTTTCTCTAGCTCTATAATCTCTAAATAGGCATCAAATTAGTGCATCTTCCATTACAAATTATACTTTTAACTTCTTTAATTATCCACTAGTTAGTGTTATTATTTAATTTTCATTACTGTTAGTTTTACCCTACCAATATAGAAGCTTCCTAATTAGTTAGGTAAGACTCTTTTTTTATTTTTTTTAAATAAAACCTAAATTAATTTCTATCCCCAAATTATGTTAGACAATTAAATTAATTAACCCTAATAATTATTACAACTTATTAAAAATCAAATTAAAAGAAAATTGCCAAAATTTGAAAATTAAAGAGTAAAATGTAACATGACTATTTTTTTATGATCTTTTTCTATTTTTTCAACAACAACTTACTTAATTAATCTAAAAATGTAAAATAAAATCCAAAATACAGATGCATTATATATTTTTTTTGTATTTTTTCATAATCTGAAATACTACATAATGCATTTTAAAATAAGATAGAAATATTGCACAATACCAAAGCTAATCCTAATTAATTAAACTAAATATAAACTATTTTTTGTATTTTCGAAATTATATAAAGATAAAAATAAGGTACTATTTTTTTAAAATTATTTTTTTATGAAAAGTACATAAACTAAAATACTTGTTTGTAATTTTTATTCTTCTTGTAAGAAAATAAAATAAAAGAGTTAAAATGAGTTGAAATAGTTATATTAGGCCTAAATTAAATATTTACGTGCTAAAATATAAAATTTTTGGGGAAGGTCAAAAATCGCATGTCTACAATTCTTAGGTAAAGTTAAATAATTCTTTTTGTTAGAGAAAATAATTTAGTGACTATCTATGATATTTGAGCAAAATAAAGTAATTTTGCGTTACAAAAAATAATTTAGTAATTTTAACCCAATAAAAATCATTGAAACTACATGTTATTTTCATAAATGACTTCACTAAGAGCAATTTGATTGAAAAGAAGGAAATTATGAGATGACTCTAGTTGGATTTCAGATGGAATGAGGGATCGAAGAGGTCGAAAAATGACTTCATTTAGTTGGATTTCAGATGGAACGAAGATAAGGTCTTAACACCTTTTTGAATTAAATCTCATAGCATATTTGGCCAAACTTAAAAAATTAACTTATTTTAAGTACTTTTTTTCAAAAGTTCTTTGGGTGAGAAATAGTTTGTATTTGACTTATGAATTTGAAAAACACTTTTGAGCGATAATTAGTATTTGGCCAAACTTTTAAAAAATGCATCTAAATATATTTTTTTTCAAAAGTGATTTTGGAGAGAAGCTAATTTTTTTTGTTTCTCCATAAACTGTTTCTGCTTCTACTCAAAAATATATTTTTTTCTTTCTAGAAGCTTTGACCAAACACTTCAACTTAATAAAACAGTTTTACTGAAGAAGTAAAATACTTTTAACTTTGGAGAATTTTCGCCAAAACAAAACTTAAGTTCCGAACAATCACAAAAGCTTCTTTTGGTGGTGCTTGCGGCATGTCTCTTTCTTGATTGACANGGCGGAGGGTCTTCTTTTCTCTTTTTTTAAATATTTTTTAGGTCTTCCCCTCTTTTAAGTAAAATAAAATACATAGGAACTTCCTCAATAAAACACTATATGAAATGTACTTATCCCGAATTAGACGTCTCTTTTTCTTTTCTAGCTTTTCCACATTGAATTATCTCTTAAAAGATAAGTTCAATGATATAGAATTATGTATAAAGCACATACAACGATAGGTTTTTCCCAAGCTAATATGCATCCCGGTTGGCAACAAGCAATGGACACTGGGTTTAAAGCACTAGAAGCCAACCAAACTTGGAAAATTGTGGAATTACCACATGGAAAAAAGCTCTCCCTTGCAAATGGGTTTATAAAGTAAAACATAATGCAGATGGAAGTATAGAAAGGTTGAAGGCTAGGTTGGTTATTCGAGGTGACATTCAAAGAGAAGGGATTGACTTTAACGAGACATTTTTCCCAGTGGTAAAAATGACTACCATACGATGCCTTCTAGCTGTTGCAATAAAGAAAGGATGGGGCATCTCACAACTAGATGTAAACAACGCATTCTTACATGGTGAATTACAGGAAGAGGTATATATGAAGTTTCCAGCAGGAAAAATTCCACCTAATCCCAACCATGTGTGTTTACTTCGCAAATCACTTTATGGTTTGAGGCAAGCCCCGCGCCAATGGTATGCCAGGCTAACAACCGCATTAAGTTTCAAAGGGTTTTATTCATCTCTTAATGACTACTCACTCTTTTACAAGAAATCAATATATTCAATTTCAATTGTCGTAGTTTACGTAGATGACATACTACTTACAGGAAATAACAAGGAAGAACTTCATCAATTGAAACAATTTCTTCAGCAGGAATTTCAGATCAAGGATCTAGGTGACTTACACTATTTTTTGGGTCTGGAGACTCTTCGTGAGCCACAAGGTTTAATCATCAGTCAACGGAAATTCAACTTGGAAGTTCTTGAAGAATTTGATTGTAGTAGTTTGCCCTCTGCCACATCTCCATTGGACCCTTCATGCAAGCTTAGTGGTGAATCTGGTGACCTTCTTTCTGATCCAACTGTCTATCACCGACTCCTAGAAAAATTAAATTATCTCACTCACACAAGACCGGACCTTTCTTATCCGGTACAACACCTTAGTCAATTCATGCAGCAGCCCCGTGTGCCTCATTTTAATGCTGCCCTACAGGTGGTTAGATATCTCAGAACCAACCCTGGACAGGGTATTTTCATGTCCTCTGATCCCTCCTTCACACTACTTGCATTTTGTAATGCGGATTGGGGATCTTGTGTTAATACACGACGATCTATAAGTGGGTATTTTGTCACTCACGGCAGATCTCCAATTTCATGGAAATCAAAGAAGCAAGCTTCAGTATCGCTCTCATTCGTCGAAGTAGAGTATCGATCTATGAGGCGAGTAGTTGCTGAAGTCACTTGGTTAACTCGACTCTTGACAGATCTAGCTACACCACCTTCTCTTCCGGTTTCTATTCACTTTGATTCACAAGCTGCAATTCACATCGCTCGGAACCCCGTATTCCATGAGCGAACATAGCACGTTGAACTTGATTGTCATTTTGTGAGGCAACAATTTCTCTCTATTTTGATTTCTCTGTCATTTGTGCCATCATCCTCTCAATTAGCCCATATCTTCACCAAACCGCTCTCTGGGCCATCCCATAATTCAATTCTTGGCAAGTTGGGTGTCGCTACACTCCCCTCCAACTTGGGGGGGTGTTGGAATCTCATCTATGAAGCCTCAGTTACCTCCTTCTTCTTTCACTTCTCATAAGAAAGAAAACCAGTTTGCTATAAAGAGGAAAGTGGCAAATGGATTTGGGGATAGGGTCCAAAAAGAGAAAAATGGTCCAACAGTTGAAGACCCAAGCCCAAATTCTGATTCTGGATAAAGGACACGTGGGAACACCAAAGCTGTTAGATTGAAAACTGATTAAAAGCTGATGATGACCATAATAGTTGTCCAATTGGAAACAAAACATAGTTGCTCCCATCTGGAAACCATTAGGTAGTGGGCATGTTACTATATAAATATAGTAAAACATAGTTGTATATAAATACTGTGTAAAGTTATACATAGTACATAGTTGTAATTTGTTTGTATCCAATAGACAATAGGTAGTGGTCATGTTACTATACTGGTATAAATACCAAAGTTTCACATCAATGAAATACACAGAAAATTCTCCTAATTTTGGTCTTTCCAAAAATTCTACATGGTATCAGAGCAGTAGCTCTAAAGCATCGATCCTTTAGTTTTTTTCTGTTCATTTTTACCTTCAATTTCCTGTCTTCAATGGGTTCTATTCTTGAAACAACTGAGGTCAGTTCAGCAAATGTCACCACTTCTGCAAATAATGGAGGTGGAATGAAGGACTCAAGTCATCCTTACTTCCTTCACCCCTCAGATTCACCCGGAATGAACTTGGTAAACACAAACTTTGATTGTAGAAGCTATGGAGGGTGGCGTAGGTCCATTCTTATTGCTCTTTCTGCCAAAAATAAGGTGGGGTTCATAGATGGAACCTGCCTTGCACCAAGCTCAGAAACACCTGACCTTAAGTTATGGAATAGGTGTAATGACATGGTCATATCTTGGTTGTTGAACTCCCTTTCCAGAGAGATTGGTGAAAGTGTTATCTATTCCAAAACAGCCAAACATCTGTGGGATGATTTGGAAGATAGATTTGGTCAATCAAATGGTGCAAAAATGTATCATTTACAAAAAGAGTTGAGTGATTTGGTTCAGGGGTCAAGCAACATAGCAGGGTATTTCACTAAGATTAAGAGGCTATGGGATGAGCTAGATACCTTGAATACACATGTCAACTGCTCATGTGAATGTAGTTGTGGAGGTAAGATGAAAATGTCCAAATCACTCCAGGATGAGAGGTTAATTAAGTTTCTCATGGGGTTGAATGACACCTATGCCTCAGTGAAGAGTAGTATCTTGATGTTGTCACCCCTTCCAACTGTGGGACATGCATATTCCCTGTTGATGCAAGATGAGAAGCAAAGGGAAGTTTATGTAAACTCTCAATTCCTTGGAGATTCTCCATCCTTCATGGCTGTAAATCAAAATCATTCAAGTCAGAAGTTTGGAAACTCTGATTTCAAGGGAAAGAAGAACAATTTGAGCTGCTATTACTGTAAAAAAAACCCGGGCATTTAGTGGATAAATGCTACATGATCATTGAATTTCCAGCAGACTTCAAGTTCACAAGGTCAAAGAAGTTCCAAGCACCTGTTAAGAGCAATGCAGTATATTCTGACAGTGAAGTAGGACAGCAGAGCATTGTTGATGGAAGCAATGGAAATCAACAACTCACACAAAGTCAAGTTTCTCAGCTAGTTCAACTTCTTCAACAGGTGAAGGGTGGTCAGACAGTGTCTTCAAGCTCAGATGTTGTTGCAAATGTTGCCAACTGTGCAGGTATAGCCTTTAATGTTCTAAATCTTCTAATTTCAAAATCACCTTTTGGATATTGGATTCAGGAGCTTCTGAACATATGTCTTCAGACCCTACAATTTTTTTTCACAATCAAACCTCTTCCAAAACCTTTAATGGTAAATATTCCTAATTCATATAGAATAAGAGTGACTCACATTGGAGATGTATCTATTCCCGGTAATCTGACTCTAAAAGGTGTCTTATATGTGCCTTCTTTCAAATACAATCTACTTTTAGTTCAAAAAATTTACAAACAATACAATTGTCTTCTAATCTTCTCCGCTAATGCATGCATGATACATGGCCTTTCAATGAGGATCCCTCAGGGTCTTGGTGAAGCAAAAGGGGGCATCTATCTGCTAGATTCTTCAAGCCATAGGCCTAAGAAGTCATCTAAAAACAATGTAGTTTCATTACCTAAAGCAAGACAATCTAGTCATGTTATTTCCCTCTCTTCGATTTCTTTTCCTGAAAAGGTTAATTCCAATGTAAGGCTATGGCATCTTATATTAGGCCATATGCCATTTTCTGCAATGAAAAATATTAATATGCCATCTATTTTACCTTCTATATTCAATGTTAACTATCAATGCGATATTTGTCCTTTAGCTAGACAAACAAGAATTCCCTTTCATTCAAGCAATATCACCAGCAAACATATCTTTGAACTAATTCATATTGATACATGGGGCCATATAAGACAACTACCTATAATGGATATAGATACTTTCTTACCATCATTGATGATTATAGTAGGGGAAATTGAATTTCTTTTAAGCACAAAAAGTAACGCTTTTTCAGTATTAAAAGACTTCCTAGCCATGGTAGAAAGACAATTTTCCACCAAAGTTAAAATTATCAGATCAGACAATGCACTAAAATTGGGTACAAGTTTAACAACCTTTGAATATTTAGTTTCTCGAGGGATCATACACCAAACTTCATGCACTTCTACCCCTCAACAAAATGGAGTTGTTGAGAGGAAGCATAGACACCTTTTAGAAACATCTAGGGCTCTATTGCACCAATCTAAACTTCCTATTTCATATTGGGGAGAATGCTTACTCACTGCCACTTTTTTGATCAATAGATTTCCTTCAAGAGCCATTAGGAACAAAACACCTTATGAGATTTTGTTTGGTAAAACTCCTAATTATGATTTCCTTAGATCCTTTGGCTGTTTGTGTTATGCCTCAACTCTTTCTCATAACAGGGACAAGTTAGGAGCAAGGGCTAATGTTTGTGTGTTTATAGGGTACCTTTATGATAAGAAGGGATACAAACTGCTAGATTTTAATACTAAGAAGATCTTTGTTTCTAGAGACGTGCAATTCCATGAATCTATTTACCCATTTTCTCTACAATCAAGTTCTCTTCCTATGTTCCCTGGATTTTTTCCACTTATTGATTTGGTTGACAGTAATTCTGATGCCATCAATTGTCCTTTCAATTCCACTCATCCTATTTGTGATACTCCTAATCCAGTTCATTCTTCTACTCCAATTTCTCTTTCTAGTCCTACTTTAAACCAAAGATCAGAATCTCCAATTTACCCTACATCATAGTTAGATCATTCACAACAAGGTACATCTCCACTAGTCTTGAGAAGATCAGAAAGACCTCATACTAGACCAGCCTATTTACATGATTATGTTTGCAGTAATGTTTACTTGACTACTTTAACTGATTCATGTTTCAATCAACCTGTTAATCCTACCATTTTTTCCTTTGCTGGACTTTCCACTATTAATCAACTTCTTATCAACTCTATTTTAAATATAGTTAAACCTACCAGTTTTTCCCAAGATAATATGCATCCTGGTTGGCAACAAGCAATGGACACTGAGTTTAAAGCACTAGAAGCCAACCAAACTTGGGAAATTGTGGAATTACCACATGGAAAAAAGGCTCTCCCTTGCAAATGGGTTTATAAAGTAAAACATAATGCAGATGGAAGTATAGAAAGGTTGAAGGCTAGGTTGGTTATTCGAGGTGACATTCAAAGAGAAGGGATTGACTTTAACGAGACATTTTTCCCAATGGTAAAAATGACTACCATACGATGCCTTCTAGTTGTTGCAATAAAGAAAGGATGGGGCATCTCATAACTAGATGTAAACAACGCATTCTTACATGGTGAATTACAGGAAGAGGTATATATGAAGTTTCCAGCAGGAAAAATTCCACCTAATCCCAACCATGTGTGTTTACTTCGCAAATCACTATATGGTTTGAGGCAAGCCCCGCGCCAATGGTATGCCAGGCTAACAACCGCATTAAGTTTCAAAGGGTTTTATTCATCTCTTAATGACTACTCACTCTTTTACAAGAAATCAATAGATTCAATTTCAATTGTCGCTGTTTACGTAGATGACATACTACTTACAGGAAATAACAAGGAAGAACTTCATCAATTGAAACAATTTCTTCAGCAGGAATTTCAGATCAAGGACCTAGGTGACTTACACTATTTTTTGGGTCTGGAGACTCTTCGTGAGCCACAAGGTTTAATCATCAGTCAACGGAAATTCACCTTGGAAGTTCTTGAAGAATTTGATTGTAGTAGTTTGCCCTCTGCCACATCTCCATTGGACCCTTCATGCAAGCTTAGTGGTGAATCTGGTGACCTTCTTTCTGATCCAACTGTCTATCGCCGACTCCTAGGAAAATTAAATTATCTCACTCACACAAGACCGGACCTTTCTTATTTGGTACAACACCTCAGTCAATTCATGCAGCAGCCCCGTGTGCCTCATTTTAATGTTGCCCTACGGGTGGTTAGATATCTCAGAACCAACCCTGGACAAGGTATTTTCATGTCATCTGATCCCTCCTTCACACTACTTGCATTTTGTAATGCGGATTGGGGATCTTGTGTTGATACACGATGATCTATAAGTGGGTATTTTGTCACTCTCGGCGGATCTCCAATTTCATGGAAATCAAAGAAGCGAGCTTCAGTATCGCTCTCATCCATCGAAGCAGAGTATTGATCTATGAGGCAAGTAGTTGCTGAAGTCACTTGGTTAACTCGACTCTTGACAGATCTAGCTACACCACCTTCTCTTCCGGTTTTTATTCACTTTGATTCACAAGCTGCAAGTCACATCGCTCGGAACCCCGTATTCCATGAGCGAACAAAGCACGTTGAACTTGATTGTCATTTTGTGAGGCAACAATTTCTCTCTAGTTTGATTTCTCTGTCATTTGTGCCATCATCCTCTCAATTAGCCCATATCTTCACCAAACCGCTCTCTGGGCCATCCCATAATTCAATTCTTGGCAAGTTGGGTGTCGCTACACTCCCCTCCAACTTGAGGGGGGGTGTTGGAATCTCATCTATGAAGCCTCAGTTACCTCCTTCTTCTTTCACTTCTCATAAGAAAGAAAACCAGTTTGCTATAAAGAGGAAAGTGGCAAATGGATTTGGGGATAGGGTCC